TTTCTTTCTTTACATTGTTTCGTGTTAGTTTATAATTTGTGTACGTGTACGTTGCATCGTACGTTCTTGTGTATGTGCACAAATAAACTACATAGTGGTTTACCGCTAAATTTGGATCAAAATATCGTAAGCAAGTCGGGTAGAGTTTAAGTTCGTTACTAGGGTAAAACAATTTTTCTGTAACTGGAATACCGCCAACAACGCTGACTGTACTTTTAGAGAACGGTTTTTCATTTACATACGACAGTAGATTGATATAAGTGTTAAAAAATTCAGTTAAAAATAACGACTGGTTTTACCGCCTCTTTTGTCACGAAAAACATTAATTTGCATTAAAGTACATGTTTTTGTTATATTTTTACAGCTTCTTTAAATGTACAAAAAGTATTTATTTTACCTATATACGAGTTATATAAATTATCTTTAAATAATAAAACTCCGAAGGGTTTGTTGTAGTACAAGAAATATTTTCAGTCTGTCTTTTATTATTAATAATGTATAAAACCTTTTAATAAAGAGGAGTTTTAGTTATTAAATCTCATTATATTAAAATAATGAAACTCAAGCTAAAGACTTTGCAATGGCTTGGTTTGATCCATACAAAAAGATTCCTGTGTGGCAGCTCTTTCCCCTCCTATATATATAACCGATATATATGTCCCACAAAAGTAAAATAATGAATCTCAAAGGCCTTTTACAGTTGTAATTAACTATCAATTAGGGCCTGTCCCACCACTGGCTGATATAAACTCAGATAGATCAAAAAATACGTCAATGTCAGATAAGGGAACAAAATCCAACATTTCCATCTCATATTTTACACGTATTGTTATCAATTCATAATTTAGTGGGACCGGCTGTAAATCTATCGGTTATATCTACGATTCAATTAATTTATACTAGGTTAAGATCGCCTTTTAAAAGCACGTCCAAGGTATAGGGCAGCGAATATTTAAGATTTATTTGTCAGCGTATCTCTTTAAGCATATGTTACCAAGATATTATATTAATTGGCAATATTTTTCTATCGTATAAGTAAATTGTAAAATAGTTTTTAGAATCTGAAGAATGAAGAAGAAATGAATCTTTGTGCAATGGAAATACAAAATGTTCGTATATACCATAAAGTATAGAGCAACAGTTCTGATTGTATTAAAAAATAAATGGATGTCTTTGATGCAGATTTTATCGTTATGTATTTATTAGTTTTGTTTTTAAATTATGCGAAATTTAGTATCAAATGACATGCAATTGTAGACAACACTGGACGCTTTACATGTTCTTGTTCAACGACAAATGTTTTACTATAACAAAATGTCATTACGACTCCATGAATGTAAAAATTTTTTAGTTTTAAGTTATTTTCAATGTTATTATATCGATAGAAATGTGTTCAAACGTTTTATTTTGTTTTTATCAGCAACATTTTTAATTCCACCAATTTTTCGCGCCAAACGCCATTTGTCAATGTCAAAGTTTGACAGCCGCGCACAAAAATAACAGATTATACACACCAATAAGTTACATTTGGAATCTTATTTAGAATTTTATTATCTGTTACGATTAATTTATTTACTGTGATTTAATTATTTGTTTTAAATATTGTACAATAAAATCGTTATTCAACTGGGGGCTTTCATGTTTTTTAAGACACTTATTAAGTTTTATGTTTGTATTTCCACAACATTATGTGCAATAACATATTTGTTTTATTAATAATAATTGTTAAATCCTTCTTTTATGATATTAAGGCTTCCAAAATAGATATTTTTTTTAATAAAATGATATGTGATTCTCGCTCAGAGTACAGTATATAGCGGATGTGATGTTGGAAATCATTCCCATTAAAATGCATTTTACACGAAAACTGTCTTTTTTTTTACGTTTACAGATTGTACTATAGCTTTTATACAAAACAAACAAGAATCCTAGATGTCGCCAGTCGATGATATAGGGCAAGCAACCCCCTGTCGACGCACATTTTAATTTAACTCCAAAAGTATTCTCGATTAAATAAGTTACAATAATAACAAATGAATTTTTAATAGTAATACAGATGAGGTTATGGCGTACAGATAGAATCGGTATCCTGAAAAGAGAAAGCAGGTTTAAAACAATATTTACAGTGGTAGTGCCCGCTTTAACATCTTAGCACTGCAGGGCCGGCACGCCCCCAGTAATACCACGACCACACAGAAGACAGACGTGAAATGGAAGCAATTCCGTGTTTCGCCTGATGAGTGTGGTGCCGGAGGCCTAATTTAAGTCCCATTCTCATTACCAACCTTTTTTTATAAGGAGAGGATGGGAAGGGGAAGTGGTTTTGACGGTGGAGGAGATGCATAGGAAGGGGCAATATTCTCTTTATGTGCGTCTCCTCCTCCGTCGGATAAGGGCAGGCAAAGCATCTGCGATCGTGGATGTCAATGGGCAGCGGTCGCTTCGCCATTTTGGCAGATTCAGGTGGTCGCTTGCTCGTTTGCCACCTTATATTATAAAAAAGAATACAAGTTACGAGGTAAGGTAATCCGGATAAAGAAAAATCTATCTTCAGGTCTAAGTAAGGATTCGGGTAAATGACGTATTTTTTTTTTCCGCCGTCTCTTTTCTTCTTGCATAGCAAGAATTTTTGTTTGGGCTTTTTTACCGATTTGACTTAGTTTGGGCTTTTATCTTGCGGCATTTTGTTTGTGTATACTTCTTTTCCTTTTATTCTTTCATGTTATGTTTTTAATTTTTTAATGTTTCTTTTTGTAATTTAGTAGAGTTCCTCTATTAATAAATCTAAACCTGACCTTTAAATCGACGTGCTGCAAGGCATCTTCAAGAGCGAGCAAACCCGGGTCATCGGGAGAGAACACGCGGCATTCCTCTTCGAAGAACCTCTCCATCTTGAGACGTAACTCCTCTGCGTGTAGACGGCGCTCTGAGCTTCTCACCTCCTCCGATATCTCGGAGGTTGATTTGAAACTAGATTTTTACAACCCGCCAGTTTGAATTGGATTAAAAATTTACAATGCTCTATAGAAAACTGGACAAGTTACCTGTCGACAGAAGCAAGGTATTCTGGTGGAAAGGAATCTAGAACTGCTTTCATCTGGATCCACGGATCACTAAAACTTCTATTCTTGTACTGGTAAACGTTTTAATATTTTATTAAATTAAATATAGAAATCGAGACATTTAATGCTGATATCAATCTGTAAAGTGTCCAAAATAGTACCTTAGTTTCTTAAAATAATTTACTTACTCTACGATATCTCTCATAATCGATCTCGGAGTCGGTCATAGCCCGAGACAGAGCAAGACTAGAGTCCGTGCTTAGAGTCTTCGCATCATAGTCTTCGAGGCCGGCGGAGACGAGACTCTCGCTAATCTCTGGTGAGTCTTCCGGCTCCCTCCAGACATAAGGCGTCGCGGTAACGTCTTCAGGTAAATCCAGCTCGTTTACCATCTCTGAACGGCTATTGGGGATCGAAGCCAGGAATGTTTCAAACATTTTTTTATATTGCTTGACCACCGTTATACCTATTACACCAATCTGTAAGTTTTTAAGTTATCTGTCATTGCATAATCCTCAGTTCACGTAGAGAAAATTAATGTTTTCAATAAATAAACTGATGAATGTATTCTCAAACCTTTAAAATCCCGTTGCACCGAAGTTAAGACGCGTGTAAGGTCACGTACCCACTACCAACGAAGTGTGCCGCCGCCGAATCAGTAAGCCTAGCTCCAACTGCCCGCTGTTTGATCGATAGACTACGTGTTCGATGACACGCAAGCAAGCAACACGAGCTAAACAACTTGATCTGATCAGGATATTCTACCAGACCTTTTTGATTTTTTAAATTATTAACCCTTTAATTTACTAACAAGGGATATAAGAATACAAAAATAACTCCAGGAACCCACATAAAACTATAATCTATTTAGTTACTTCGGCCTTGCATTACTATGGTATTGCGCCGTAATAAGTAATTGCGCTATTAAATTATTACTGTAAAATATAGTAACTACGGAAGATGTTGGGGAAGGCCTATGTCCAACAGTGGGAAGACAAAGACTGATTATGATGACGATAGTAACTATACCAATATAATTATCTTTATAAACTAGCTTTCGCCCGCAACTCTGTTTACGTGGAAATAAAAAAAACAAAAGTGAGTAGCCTATGTGTTCTTCCACACTATCCTCCACATTTATACCAAATTTCAGCAAAATTCGTTCAGCCGTTTAGGCTACAAACTCTAACAAACAACCATCTATCCATCTAAACTATCGCATTTATAATATTAGTAAGACTAGATGTCCCTGCAGCTACAGCGCATATTGTAAAAAGTAACTTATTATGCTCCCGGGAACATCAGCTTCCTTCCCGCCAAAATCCCGTCATAATCGATCCCGCCGTTCTAGAAAACCAAAACATTTAGTCAGCAGAGTCAGGAGACAAGAAGATTGGTCTGGTATAATTGGGCAAAAGAATATAAATTTTCGTTACCAGATAACATCAGACAAATCTTACGTGATTTTACTGGTACAATCTGCTACAAAATTCGGTTCACACTGGACACGAAGGCGTGATGTTCTCTTTTACAGTGCACCTACGCAGTACATGTAGAATCTTCGTGTGTGTACAGGATGTGAGAATTACAAGTAAACAAGGATGCGGCGAAAAGGATTTGGAGAGACGTCGCCCACTCCGCGGATATACACGATTGACCTCAAGTCACCAATGGGTAAGTATCTCATATTCTCATGTAATCGTAACCATTAAGATATTCTGGTGACATGACATCACAGAATCAGAGCCTGTATTAAGTCATTTGTCATGTTTTAAAATAATCTTATCATATTTTTACTAGCTTAACTTCAATAATGTGAAATTAAAGGGAATCCCCGAACATTAAGATAGCATATTATAGTCAAGGGAGAGGAAGGGGGCTATTTCGAGTAGTATTAAGGTAGCGCGTACCATCTTCATTCTCATTAGGCGGCTTAAGTCAAGCCAAAAAATACCATAATAATCGTCCTCCCTAGACATAGCCAGATCATCGACTGGGAACGCCCATATGAAATAGTGAGCAAGCTAGTTTGTCACTGGTACAAAGGGCTATAATGATCCATTTATACTCAATGGTATGAAAATTTAAAGCAATTTTAGTGATGCCACCACATCATGTAATCTAAATGCAGTACAACTAATACTACGTTCAATCAGTATAATTTGGTGTCTAGTTATAAACGGAAAGACTATCTTGTAAATCTGTATTGGACACCAGAAACAACATTCGCGTTATTAAGTTTGGATATCTCTTGTTTCCTTTATCTTGTACTAGATTTCGCCCGCGACACCGTCCGCGTGTAATTAAAATAACAAAAGTGAGTAGCCTATGTGTTCTTCCAGACTATCCTCTACGTCTATGCCAAATTTAATCGAAATACGTTCAGCCGTTTAGGCTACAAACTCTGACAAACATCCATCCATCTAAACTTTCGCAATTATAATATTAGTATGACGAGTATCATTATTCTGTATCCACGTTTTACGAGTAAACAGTTATTAAATTGATTACGTCAAATATGTCACAATACGTTAATTATTTGACCAAACGGCGTAATAGCACCTTTAACACGTGAAGTGACGTCAAAATACATATTGAAATAAGTTCAATACTTTTACGTAGAAAGAAAAAGTAAAGATGTGAGTTTGGATGCATAGTATGTGTTGTACAGAAAGGCGAAACGTATGACGTAAATTATCTCAGATATAATGGCAAGATGCCCGAAATCAGAATAGTATCGTTAACAGCGTCCGATGAATAGGACGTCTCGCGGGTGCTCTCGGATATGTGTGCACAGTTAGCGCGCTATCACTTGTGTTTATAGGTCTCAGATTAGTGCTGTTTCCCGTGAACTGCGCATTGTAGCGCCAAGTGCGATTAGATAAAGACAGCAATATCATTCACAGATGTAGTCGCCGTCTCTCTCAACTGTCAAGTTCCATAAATTTCCACAAAATCAGCTGATAGCTTGTGGTAGCCGCGACTAGCTCGCTACCGCTGGCGCTAGTGACTTGAGCAGCTATCTCCCGGCGCTCGTTCGTGTTTTTGTGTTTTGCGTCAGTCATGATCCGGTAGCGCGAGCAGATGGATGTCGCGAACACAAACGGTCCGTCGCTGCGGCTCCGCGGCGGCGTCAACAATCACAGTGACGGTAAAAAACATGAATTGAATCTGTGCACTAGTGCAATGTCGGCGGAGACCAAGCGTCTCCTGCCGCCCACATCGGAGACTATCATGACGAAGCCGTTCCCTATAAGAGGTAAATTAAATAAATACTTTAGTGACTACTAAAAATAAGCCGGACGCAGCGCCACCCGACACAGAATGCTTCCTATTCTATCCCATTCCGTCGCGTATTATTGCACATTATTTCCCCCCACACGTGTGCAATGACATTTGATGCCTCAAGAAATATAAGATTCGTACCAATAAGATTTTTTTCTCAATGATAAACATTATTTGCAATTGCAACACTAGCTTGTCGTTTACTACATATTAAGAAAACATTACCTATTTTACCCACGGATTCGAATCCCGGATACCCGTCGAATGACCAACACACAATATTGTTCGAAATTTAAGTAAAATATGTCACAGAATCAAACATAGAAAATTTTTCACGGCGAAATGATCATTCCCTACTTTACTATCACATTTTGTATAGCTTAAATGATTTTTTGTTTGTTAAAAGGCAGGTACACACACGTACGTATAGCTAGGACCGAAGGGTTGTTAGTTAAACAACACTTCCCATGATGGTGGGAAAGTTAACAAACATTTTTAAATAAAAATATCATGATAAAAGCACCCCTAAAATATTAATGACAGTGTATATCAGGATTTATTAGAATTACACGTAATGTTAAATAGTAATTATTCTAATTAAAGAATTTTTAAAATCGGGCCAGTTGTCGAGCTAATTCATTACATACAATAACACACAAAAAAAAACATATCGACGAATTGAGTACCTCCTTCTTTTGGGAAGTCGGTCAAAAAAATACACATCTTTCCTTTTTATATTAGTACTAGCTGATGCTCGCGACTTCGTCAGCCTAAAATTTAATATTTAGCCTATGTTAATCACCGATTAATTACCTTTCTAACCGTCAAAGAATTTTTAAAATCGGTCCAGTAGTTTTTGTTTTAATTAATTATATACAAAACTTTTCTCTTTTTAACATTAAGTATAGACATAGATAGATACCTTGTGTTTGTTTACAAATCTTATGTTTTTTTAGCATAAACCATGCTGCGCCATAACTATACTGAAGCGTACATAATTATCATAATGTTAAACACGCATTAACTAAATGAAAGAAATAATTTATTCACTATTCAATTAGTTAAAACGAGTGTTTTCATTGTGACTTTGACCTTGACTTGGCATCACTCGAAACAGGTATGGTGGTTTTCTTTGTAATTCATTGTTACTAAGCGACACTGGCAAATAATAGCCCATACAATAACCTAATGTCCGCTTAACATCATTCCAGTCCGTCAACGGATTCCAATGCTAGATTACAGATGGCAATATTTAAAACTTTAATGGCGTATACATTGGGTCCTAGTGTGCGTTTACGTTTCCAGTAGCAATCATGCCCTGGATTCGGTCACTGGACTGGCATAGTGCAAACCGGCGATAATGCTAGGAATTCGTTTTCAGTCGTTAGTGCAAGTGCAGTGTAAAGAACCTCATGCACAAAAACATCGTGTTTTTAGAAAGAATTACAGGCATAATAAAATATGGTACAAACATAACCTACTTTTACTTTCCTCTTTTATTAGAATTTAATCTATACTAATGTTATAAAGAGGAAAGATTTGTGTGTTTGTCTATGGTATAGTGATGTAACTCAAAAACTATTGGGCCGATTACAAAAATTCTTTCACCGTTAGAAAGTTAATTTATCTGTGACATAGGTTACAATTTCTTAATTTCACGTAAGTGAAGTCTCGAGTAACAGCTAGTTAATTTATAAAGTATAATCTATACTATTATAATAAAGCGTAAACACACACTTCTTTGTTGCCTAAGATGTCAGCAATTACAGCTTATTTTTGAACAATTCTTTTTTTTAAAAAGCCCCACACTTACGTCACGCTTTAGGCTATATATTTTTACGCCATTAAACTTGGGGGTAAATATTTTGGATAAAACACCCTATTGTGGGAAAGAGACCATAAGGTGCTGCCAACATCAAGAAAGCTAGATTGTCAAGGTTTGTAATGTCATGTCATTTTGACATTTGCTGTTGACAATTTGACAACAATAATAAAATAATGTTTTTATAATTTTATGCGGATAAAGCCGCACAGGAACAGCTAGTTTAATATATTGCCCTTTATTCTCCTCCCCATGTCTTAGAGATAAAAAATTAGGTTATCCAAAATTAATCGTCTAAAACATTATTTTTACGAAATTCTCTATTAAATTTCACAGTGTTATCAATGCACTACATTTTATCTTAACATCGATAATCCGTGTTGATAACTTCGGCGAGACTCGTTGGCAATCAATGAAGACATAATCCAATTTATCCTACTGAGCCGTGGCAATGGGAGCTGAGATAACTGGTTCCGACTGCACCTGCAACTAACGGAATAAATTCTCTAATTATATGTTGAACGTTTGCGTGTATTATTTGCATTTACGCAGCGATTGCTACACGAAATAAATTCCACTTGAGACCGAGACCAAAGTCGCGCGGTAAATTCTGAGTGGAAAAATGCACTATCCATAGACATTACATTATTTTAATTTTGCTTTAACTTTTTTTTTATATTTTTAAAGATGTTTGGAAGCTTGTTTACTACAAACGTCTGATAAAAAAGGATCTGCGGTGACACAAGTCTACGTACCCTGTTTCGTAAAACTTAATTCATTAAGATCCGCTGTATTCACAAAATCTTTTTTTTTTAATACAATGTAGCATTATTAAGCAAATATCTACGTACTACTTTGTTTTGATAATATATTGTAAGAATTGCTTATTGATTATAAGTTTCTAAACATTTGTATCGGTAAATGATATTATTGTAAATAACGTTTCTTATCTTTATTTACGAACTGATTAGTTTGTGTAGTATTGCTTTATGTAAGTTTTACTACGTCACAAGCACGTGTTGTTCATCACTAATAGTCTTCTCAATTCACGTTTATTTATCTAACTACTTACGTGTTTTTTAAATCCATCTAAGTACTCTTCTATACTATTATAATAAAGCGTAAACACACTCTTCTTTGTTGCCAAAGATGTCAGCAATCATAGCATATTTTTGAATATTTTTTTTTTAATATAAAGCCGTACACTTACGTCACGCTTTAGGCTTTATATTTTAACGCCATTAAACTTAGGGGGTAAATATTTTGGATAAAAACCCTAATGTGGGAAAGAGACCGTTACTGCCAACATCAACGAAGCAAGATTGTTATCATGTCATGTCATTTGACATGTGTAATTGATAACTTGACAAATGTAAAGAATAAAATAAAGTTTTTATAATTTCATGCGGGTGAAGCCGCACGGGAACAGCTAGTCTTAAATAATTGTGCATACAACTAAGATCGTTTACACATTTCATTTAAATAAACTACAATTATAACTATCGAAAATATTTAAATTAATTAATAAAAATCTTTGTCTAAAATTCACCCTAATCATTTCTTTAATAAATCTACGTGTTTGAAGTTAGAAATTATCAAACACGTGTTGACCCCTCCCCTTTACAATAATTAAAAAAAAAACACACGTGTTGAACGGTTCGCCTAACATTGAGCCGGGCGCGGGCGACGCTCTACATTCCTTAGTCTATGGTCTGCGCGGGTTGAATCGATTGTGCGAAAAGGAACGGATATTTTTGTACACACTTTTTAATTTATTCGCATCGCAGCTGGCTTGTTGTTATGCTGATAAAACTAGTGCTAGGGTTACCACGTTTGGTATGTGGTTTGTTTTGAAATAGAAAAAAAACTGTATTATGCTTCATTTTTACGGAATCTCTACTTAATTAAGAAATCATAATTTTTCAATATTATAACTTTTAATTTCTGTTACATTTTGCTTCTATCTCTGACATATATTAAGGTTCAGTAGATAGTTATTTAAAATATATTTCCACAAGAACTATAAACTTATTTGTTTTATTATAACTGACCTACGTCTTGCAGCACTCTTGATAATGACAGCGTATGGTATCAACTGATTGCGAACAAGTCAGAAACCGGTATATTATGGAATGGCATTCAGTCATTAAAACGTTCATTTATTCTGGTTCACGAGCATTACAAGCATTTTTGTACAAGATTACTGTCAGAGATTGTAATAAAATCTATACCAGTTATTTCGCAGTTGATTTTGCCTTCTTTTAGTACTGTAACATCGTGCAAAGTTATTTTAAATTGCGTAAAGAAGGCAATAAAAAGAGTTTCAATAAAAAACACAATATAATCTATTTTCCACAGATTAAGTACTACATAAAGACTTAACCATACTTTTTAGTCAATTAATGATACAATTTAATAATATTGGTATCTCCTTACCTTACTTAAAGAATTTAAACCCAAAAAAGTAACGGCCCATTGCCCAAATTGGCTATTATCAAATGATAAAAGGATGATTTTGTTTTGTTTGAACGCGAGCACGTAAGTCGCAGCGTCGGCAACCCTGTGTATCACGACCGAGGCGCGTGCGCCGCGGCCGCTGAGATAACCGATATGATGCGCTTTGCTGGATGGACATCTGTCATTAATGTTTTAGGTACATTTACAAGTTTAAAATGATTTTATCAATTCTCTCTTGATTAAGGAAAGAACCCGATGAATCAACACCTGCACAATTCCGAATCGTTGTACTAAATAATAAACTAAAGTCAGTTATAGCCATATACCACAGATAATACAATATTAGTAGACATATTGTAGAGGTCGGCCGAACAATCTTTGTCTATACTAATATTATAAAGAGTAACTTTGTTTGTTTGATTGTAATGAAATAACTGAAAAATTACTAGACCGATTTCAAAAATTTTTTCGCCATTAAAAAGCTACGTTGTCAGTGAATAACATAGGCTATGTTTAATATTATTTTTAATTTCACGCAGACGGAGTCACGGGCAAAAGATAGTCTGGGACAAGAAGCGAATTTTGTGAAAATTGTGACGACCTAAGTGTGAATGGATGATATTACATTAGTTAAAAAACAATGTATATTGTTACAACAGTGTTGTTCTTTTGTTTCTATTATTTTTACTTGGAAA